CTGGCCTCAAAGCTTTAAACAATAGGCTGACTTTCTTGTTAAGGGCTAATGCAATTGATGACTTTAAGGTGAAGCCAATGCTCATTTACCACTCCAGAAATCCTAGGGCCCTTAGAATTATGCTAATGTGTGCTCTATAAGTGGGACCACAAAGCCCGGATGACAACACAACTGTTTCAGCATGGTTTATTGAATATTCTAAACCCACTGTTGAAACCTACTGCTCAGAAAAGATTCCTTTTAAAATATGACTGCTCTTTGACAATGCACCTATTACTCAAGAGCTCTGAGTAGAGATGTACAAGGGGGGCTAATGTTGTTTTCATGCCTGCCAACACAGTATCCATTCTGCAGCCCATGAATCAGGAGTAATTTTGACTTTCAAGTCCTATTATTCAAGAAACACATTTCATAAGGCTGCCACACCTACTGATCCCTCTGAGGGATCTGGAAGTACATGAAAATCTTCTGGAAAGAATTCACCATTCTAGATGACATTAAGAACATTTGTGATTCATCAGAGGAGGTCAAAATACTAACATCAATAGGAGTCTGAAAGAAGCTGATTCCAACCCTGATGGATGACTTTGAGGGGTTCGAGAAGTCAGTGGAGGAAGTCACTGCAGATGTGGTAGAAATACCAACAGAACTCGAGTTAGAAGCAGAGCCTGAAGGTGTGACCAAATTCCTGCAATCTCATGATCAAAGTTGAACAGATGAGAAGTTGCTTCTTAGGGATGAGCAAAAAAAGTGATTTATTGAGATGGAGCCTCTTCCTGATGAAGATGCCATGAACATTGTTAAAATGGCAACAAACAATTTAGAATATTCTATCAACTTAGTTGATAAAACAGTGGTAGGGTTTGAGAGGATCGACTCCAGTTTTGAAAGAAGTACTATTGTGAATAAAATGCTGTCAAACAACATCTAATGCTACAGAGAAGCTGTTCATGAAAGAGTCAGTTGATGTGGGAAACTTCATTGTTATCTTCAAGAAATTGCCACAACCACTCCCCTGATGAGTCAGCAGCCGTCAACACTGAGGCAAGAGACTCCACCAGCAAAAAGATGATAACTCACTGAAGGCTTGGGTGATTGTTAGCATTTTTCAGCAATAAAGTATTTTTAAATTAAGCTATGTACTTTTTTAAAGACATAATGCTATTGTGCACTTAGTAGACTACAGCATACAGTAAACAGAATTTTTTTTTTGAGATAGAGTCTCACTCTGTCTCCTGGGCTAGAATGCAGTGGCACAATCTCGGCTCACTGCAACCTCCACCTCCTGGGTTCAAGCGATTCTCCTGCCTCAGCCTCCTGAGTAGCTGGGACTACAGGCATGTGCCACCAGCCCTGGCTAATTTTCTTGTGTCTTTTTAGTAGAGACAGGGTTTCACTGTGTTAGCCAGGATGGTCTCACCTCATGATCTGCCTGCCTCGGCCTCCCAAAATGCTGGGATTACAGGTATGAACCACTGTGCCAGGCTGTAAACAGAACTTTTTTTATATGCTCTATGAAACCAAAATATTCATGTGACTTTTTGTGTGTGTGTGATATTTGCTTTGTCCTGGTAGTTAACTGAACCCTGTATATCTCTGAGGTATGCCTGTATTGTAATTTGTAATTTTAACTATTCTATGTGTGGTAGAATCTCACTGTGGTCTTAACTTGCATTTCCTTAATGACTAATGATGTTGAGCATGTTTTCATGTGTTCATTTGCTATATTTATATCTCTTTTGGTGAAAGGTCTGTTCAAATCCACTGAAGTGACATGATCACAGTTCTGTGTTAGGAGATTACCCTGGCTGTGGTGTCCGGCCTTGCTACTCAAGCTGTTGAATGAGGACCAATAGCACCTGCATCTCCCAGGGGCTTGGTAAAAATGCAGCACCTTGGCCTCATCCCAGTTCAGCCCAATCAGACTCTGCATTTGAACAAGATCCCCAAGTGATCTGCATGCATGTTAAACTTTGGAAGCATTTGTGTTCAGAAAAGATTAGAGGAGAGGGGAAAATATTAGAAAGCTATTGCCATATGATGAACTTAGGGAGGCCGAACAGTCAGAAGGCGAAGGAATTAAGAATCCACTCGTCTACTGGCCCAGTCTGGAAACTTGGCTCAGGGTTTAAGTCCCTATCTGTTCCCTTACTTGTGTCCCACTGCTGGATAAAGGCCTGTGGTAACAAAGAAGATCTTCAGAGGAAACCCCATTACCTAGAACAGCAGACACATCTGTCCAGGCCTTCAGTTACAACCTGTGGGATGGTAGTATAGGGAGGCTTGTGGGGTCCCTAAGGCAGGACAGGGACAGGCCATTTAATCAATTACTTTAGCCAATACTGGCAATGCCTCTGACACCCTGCTGGGTACACATGGGTAAGGTCCAGCCCTCAGATGAAAGTCATGATCTAGTGGAGGAGACAGAGAGATGTAATTACAATTCAGTAGGACCAGTGTCATAACACATCTCTCTCTCTCTGGCTCTCTCTCGTCCTCTAAAATACTGTACAAGCCCAGAACTTAGAGAAGGGGCAGAGGGATTCAGAGAAATGTTAACAGTTGACTTGGGTTTTAGAATTTTATGCCAGACCTGTATTTTAGATTACACATTACTCTTGAGATAAGAACTGTTGTTAGCCCCATTTTATAGACAAGGTAACCATGGGCCTGCCCCTGGCCTCCTAGCTAGATTCCCACTTAGTCTGTCTGGCACCAAAGTTTGGATTCTTAGCTGAGCTTGCACTGTGAGCCAGGGGGTGTCTGAGAGAACAGAAAACCAGATTTTTTTCCTAGGGAAATCACTTGCTCCTGCCTCATTTGGTGATTTTTGAAGAGGCTTTTCTTTTTCCCAGAGATGCAGAAACCGGTGTCCATGGCCCAAGCAGCTTCCAGACCTTGGCCCTACCCCTTTACCCAGAGTGACTGAAGAGACTGACAAATGCCTAGGCAAAGCCTTCGAGCCACCTGGGGGGGATCAGGGATTGCCGGGGGGCACCTGGCTGTCTTATTTGCTGCTGAGCCGCCGTCAGTCAAGCTTCATGGTCAGCCTCTGCTCCGGCTGCTGCTTTTCTCTACAGCAGAGCTGGACAGTGTCAAAGCCTGGCTCTCCTTCGATCTCACATAACTGTGGATTTCTCCTCTATCTAAAGAGATAAAGCCAAAGACAGGGTTTGCTATTTCTCAGCTTGTCCTGACAGCATAGAGGTCTGTATATTGTAAAGATTTCCAAAAAGGAACTCTGTTATGGTTTTTAGAAGTAAACTGGAGGTGCAGGGTAGACATGACCCTCAGCATGACTTTGGAAAGTCCTCTTGCCCCCCACAACTGCCACCCCCACTCTCGACGTGTCAGTTGGACTTCGTAAGCGCCTTGAGTTCAAGGACATGTATGCACTTTGCGTTCTTCCTGCTGTGCCTTCATGCTGTGCCAACCCAGAAGTGTTGGTTGTGCTGACACCTCAGGAGGGTGGAGCATGGGGAGTTTGTGCTTCATAGGATGGAGGACCACAGCCTCTGGGTCTAGGCTGCCAGGCCCATCCTGTCCCAGCCCCTTACCAGCTGTGTGACATTAAGCAAGTTGCTTAAACTCTCTGGGCCTTAGATTTTCCTCTGGAAGATGGAGATAATTGTTCCTCTCTCCCACAGATGTTGTGAGGTTTAAGTGAGTTATAAATACTGACGGTCCCTGACTTAAAATTTTTTGGCTTTGTGATGGCTTAAAAGTGACACACATTCAGTAGAAACTGAACTTTAAATTCTGAATTTTGATTTTTGATTTTTATTATATTTTTATTTTAATGATTATAAAAGAGGCTTTGTGTTCGATAATTGTGCCCAACTCTAGGCTGATGTAAGGTTCTGAGCATGTTTAAAGTAGGCTAGGCTGAGCTGTGATGTTCAGTAGGTCAGGTGAACATGCATTTTTGACTTACTACAGGTTTATTGGAACACCCCATTGTAGGTCACAGAGCATCTGTAAAGTGCTTAGAAGAGTATCTAACCCAAAGTAAGCACAATATAATGATTAGCATAATAGAAGAGAGCAGTTTCTGGAATCAGACCTGGTTGGACTGGGTTGGAATCCCAGTCCCAGCCCCTTCTAGCTATGACCTTGGGCAAGTTACTGAGCCTTTCAAAGTGTCAGCTTCCACATATGAAAAATGGGGATGAAAACACCTCCATGAGAGGATGAGGGAGCAGAGGAAAAGCAGTAACAAGGCCTGGCACAGTGGCTGACACGGTGGCTCACACCTATAATCCCAGCACTTTGGAAGGCAGAGGCGAGCAGATCACTTGAGGCCAGGAGTTCGAGACCAGCCCAGCCAACATGTTGAAACCCATCTCTACTAAAAATACAAAAAATATTAGCTAGGTGTGGTGGCGGATGTCTGTAGTCCCAGCTATTCGGAAAGCTGAGGCAGGAGAATTGCTTGAACTGGGAGGAAAAAGTTGTAGTAAGCTGAGATCGCACCACTGCACTCCAGCCTGGGTGACAGAGCAAGACTCCGTCCTCCAAGTCCCTCCCACCACCAAAAAGCAGTAATAAGAGTAAAAGACTGCCTGGTGCCTGCTCAGATTAAGACTGCTGTAATCATATGGTTTCTTGATTCGTTTGTCCACCTGATCTGAGGGGAAGGCAGACATGGCTGCTCTTTGGGTGACCTGATAAGATGTCCTCACCCCTATCCAGGGCAAGTGGAAGTCATGGGCAGTTGGAGGTCAAGGGCAACGGGACAGCTGAGTTGTGTTCATGTTGAACCTAACACTTAAAAGGGAAGAACCAGCAAAATGAATTCAATAGGCGCCCTGAGGTAAGATGAGCAAAATGGCCCCTGGTTCAGAAAGCAAAAACTAGAAAATGTGGTGGCTGCAGGGGTCCAAGGACAGGGAAGCAGAACTGGAGCGACCTCCAACCCATGGTTACCCAGAACCTCTGTGTATCTCAGCCCTCGGCAATCTGCCTGCAGCCTGGATCTGTCTCATTTCATAGCTCATTACCTGTTTCTAGGTATTTCAGGCTCTGTACTGATGAGTCTGTGTCATTTGCTGTTGCTGGGACTGGAGTTCTCAGTAAACCTTGCTGACAGATCGTGTGCAACATCAGAGTACTTCCAGCAAAACCTGGGTCAAGAGCAGAGTATGGGAGGAGAGATGAACAGCAAACATCCACGGAAGATTAGTAGAGAAAGCCTGACTCTTGGTAGAACTCTCGTACAGGGTTGCCAAGGACACCATCTTCTGAGTTGTTTTGAAAGTGGCCTTGGGTGGATGGTCTGACGAGGCTCTTTATCTCCTCTATCTTCTGATGCATCTTCACTGTGACCTGGCAGTGGGGCCCCTGCCACCCCTTTGAGTACAGCCTTCGGGAGCCCCTGGGGAGGAGGTGCATGGAAGGTGGTTGAGAGTTGACACCAGAGAGATGGGCAGCACCAAATCATAGAGGGCCTTGGCTGCAGAGCCAAGGAATCCGAACCACATTGTGTAAGCAACAGGCAGCCAGTGAGGGACTTTAATCAGGGAAGCAGAAGGATTTGATAGGTGTTTTAGAAACTTTGTCTCTGCTGTGTGGAGGATGAGCATCTTGAGAAGACAAAGGAAACACTGGCTACAACACCGCAAGTGAAGTCTACATCGCTGATAGCACTTTCCTCTAGTTATGTATTTTTATTGACGCAATCTCTTTAAAAGGTCAAGGAAAACTTTTATTATCTTAAGCCTTTGATGATGCCCTAGTTTGCCCTTTCCCCACCATGTTTAGTAGGGCACAGAGAAATAAGGCAACTTCCCCAACTCCTGCAGTGGGATTTTAGCACAGCCAGAAAGGACTTCACAGAGTCTGGATTCTCAGAATTGTGCTCAAATTAGATCCTACTGCAATCCACCCACACAACCAGGTTTGCACTTAACCTCCTAAAATATTACTTTCAGCTTTGAAAAAGAGAACACTCAGGTTCTGGAAACCTGGCTGAGACTGAGTTCCATGTTAGATTTTTGCAGGTCACTGCCTTAGTTTCCTTCTGCAATAACAGTCTTGCATCATTAATGTTTCTCAGTGAAGGGATGCCAGTCCCTTCGCTGTATTCCAAATGTAAACACAGTGTCAGTGTTGACCTCTAGCCTTGCGGGGCTACCAGGCCCAAAAGAACCTCATATCAGGAAATGTGAGGGGTCAACACAGGATAGAGAAGTCAATGTTTCCTGCCTTCTAATATCTCCCATTCATCTCTTCCTCTACCGTTGAAACTAGCCTCAGACTTGCTTATGTGTTAGCAGTTTGTCCTAATTGGCTGGAGTGGTGGCGGCTGCTCTGTGGGCCATCCCACTGTGCTATGTCTCCAAAGCACACCTGTCAGGAGGGGACTGCGTGCAGAAAGGATGCTCATGAGGCTGCATTTATAATGCACTATGAATTTCATGTCAGGTCTTCTGCGATTTGAAATAGAAAGTGGTGCACAATATATCACTGTCATTGATCTCAAATTCTATCTATGCTATTCCCAACTGCAACATAAATGCATTGCTGTCCTTTGTACAAAAGACTTCCCAATGGTACTATGACAAACAGGTATGTTTCTACATAGTTTTGCTCTTTTCAAAATACTGCAGAGTACTTTCATTCTAGTCCATATCTCACACATCTACCCTTGAGTCTTCTGAGGAAAACCAACAGCAGGCGAAAAACCCTAGATCACTCAAGAAAACAAAATTTGAGCTTTCAAAATTCCATATTGTTGGACTCAAAGTGGACTTTGGGCTATGGGGAATGAATGATGCCTTTGACCACAAAGGTAGGTTTCCACAGAAAAGTACAGCGGGAATCAAGCTTGCAGACAAGTTAGGACTTTCACAGACACAATAGAAGATAAAAATCTTGTGCTTTTTGAGCATCTACTCATAAAATATTTTCAGCCAGAGAGTAAAAGCATGCACTTTCTAGAAAGGCTGTTTTATAAGCCTGTCTCTGCAAGGAGGTGTAATCACGCATGTAAAGCAGGGGTGGTCACTTTAGTGTCCCTCAGAGAATAAAATGTTGTCCCAACAGGACAGAACATTCACCTTGCTCTGAACAAAGTCCCTAGCAGAGCCTGGGCTGTATTTCACTGTGACATCATCTTGCCCCTATTCTTGAAGTTCTACATCCTCGTTTTCTCTGAATGAAGCAGTAACTCAGAACAAGCCTTTGGTTATTACAGGACTTGCATTCAGCTCAGTCCTCTGTGGAAAAGGGGTGGCAAATGGTGACCATGGATGGCAAAATCCACATGGCAGAAAGGCCTACACGTGCGCCTTTCAGAAATCTGAGATGTCCAGTCTATACTGTGCTACAAGTCTCTCCTCCACCTTTCTTGATTTTTAAAAAATCTCAGCGGCCTTCTTTGTATTTCCACTCACTTGTGTGTGTTCTGTTTCACTGTATGATGCATTTCTACAGTTCAGGGACAATTTCAGAGCTTCGTTTAATTTTTCTCTTCTACCCCCAAGTCCCAATAGGGACCCCCAAACACAATGATCATCTGTTATTACGCTAAGGAATTCAGGAAATGCTGAGAATAATGTCCCTCAGGGTTGCTTTCTAGAATTAGCATTTAACTGTGAGCCTGAATTTCTTTCTTTTGCCACAAGGAAAAAACAACCCACCGGAGAAATTATGTTGGTGATGAAACTGAAACAAGAGCATAAAGTCAAATGTCTTCCACAAATCTTCCAGCTGGGAAAAGCGAGAGCAGCTTCCCTAAAAAGGGATGCGATTCAAGAGAATTGTGTGATTATCTTGAACCATGTTTACAGGGTTCAAGCTTAGGGGAGCACAGTGCTATCAGGACCAAACTAGCTTGCTAATCTTGTTTTCAAATGTATTTGGAAAAGTCAACTGAAGTTAAAACTAAAAATCTATAAAGGGCTGGGAGAGTTTTTTTTAAAAAAGGGTCTAAGCCTCTTTGCCCAAATTCCCAAGTTAATACTTAGTAGTTAATAAAATGTGAAATTGTGACATTTGAAAAGCCACATAATTAGTTTCAGCCAGGCTTGATTTGTCTTTACCAATTTTCCTCCTACATTATATCAATGATTACATGGACTGCTTTTTTCCCACTTAGCATATCATAAGCATTTTTTCATGTTATAGTCTTCATAATTCTCTTTTCATTTATAACTTAATATTCTAACCACTAAACACACCATAAATACATTTATCATTACCCTTTTGTTTTTTTTAGATTGTTTCCAGTTTTTCATTATCATAAATAATACCAGCATTCTGAGGACATTTGAATTACTTCCTTAGGATAGATTTCGAGAAGTAGAAATAATGAGTTAAATAGTATGTACATTTTTATGCCCCTAGATAGTTTGCTAAATTGTTTTTCCAAGGAATTATACCTAGTTACTCAGTCATTAGCAATGAATGAGAAGCTTGTTCTCACCAGCATTGGGTATTAATATGTAAAACGTGTTCATTAATTTAACAGGAAAATAATTTATTTTCCTGGAAGCTTTAAAATTTTTAAGCAGGCAAACATGTCCACCTTTTCCTCTCAGTTTTCTTAACTTGCTTGAGACTTAGTAAGCTGTCCCCTTCTCCCATCAAGAGCATTATATATGCAAGTATGTGGGAGGGTAGGATCCCCCTGCCTAGGACACACTCTCCGGCAACTCCATCAAAACATCTGGAGGTGGGTCTTGGCTCCAGGGAATTCTCATGTGTAGCCAAGTCTGAAAACCTCTGGCTTAGAAGGTAGGGATTCAGGCAGTGGGGAGGTGGAGGCAACAGTTTGCCTTCAAGGAAGTTTGATGGAAGGCAGAGATATGATGGAAGTTTGAAGGAAGAGATATGATGGAAGTAACAGGGTCAAAGAAAGATGTTCTTAAAAATAAAATACATGGGCTGGGCATGGTAGGTAGCTCATGCCTGTAATCCCGGCATTTGGGAGGCCTAGGTGGGTGAATCACCTGAAGTCAGGAGTTCGAAGCCAGCCTGCCCAACATGGCGAAACCCAATCTCTACTAAGAATACAAAAAATTATCCAGGTGTGGTGGTGGGAGCCTGTAATCCTACCTACTCGGGAGAATGAGGCAGGAGAACCGCTTGAAACCAGGAGGCAGAGGTTGCCATGAGCTGAGATCGAGCCTCTGCACTCCAGCCTGGGCTATAAGAGCAAAACTCCATCTCAAAAAAAATAAAGAAAGAAAGAAAACACATGACCTGCATATGTTTGAAGGCAGAGGGAAAGATTCTGTGGAAAGCAAGAGGATAAAGTAAGAGAGAAAGAAAAATGAAGAAAACAGGAATGAGGGAGAGGAGTTGGGCCAGTGTCCCAGAGAGAGGGGTGAGCATGGGAAAGGGAACATAGTTTCTGCTTAGATATATGAAGGAAAGAACATGGGCGAAAACACAAGGTTATTTTTGAGGTACAGGAGTTTGCGCGGGTTGGCCTTGATCTCAGGACAGTGAAAATTCTGTGGATTACCTACACTGGAGAAAGGGAGAAAAGGAAAGAAAAGGATAGTGTACTAAAACTAGTCGGTTTATCAACCAGTCAGCAGCACTCTTCCAGAAAGCCTCCATTGAGAAAGCAGACAACAAACTAATAACTAAAATTGGGGTTGGACATGATTAGCTGTCATTTATTCACATTGTCCTTCTGAGTCTATCATGATGGCCTGGCTCTATACATTGTATGAGGCAGGGCTCAATCAGAAAAGTGGAATAATCACCCACAACACAGAGTAAGAGATCTTTTTTCAATGTCGATTTGGCCTTAAGCAATTGTGGGACCTGGTGGACATGCCTATGCCAGACAGTTGTCTTTGCATCTGGTGTTGGGACTGAAGATGTTGTAGGCTGTGGGGAAGGAGAACTGAGTGGGCAATAAGGGAGAGCAGTGAAGAACGCTGGCACCGCCGTCTGTCTCACCACCTCCAGCCTTGAGGATGTGGACGACTTGCTGATGCAGCTGGTGCCTTTTGTCAGAGGTGCACACATACCCGGCCCAGGGCTTGGAGGAGCTGAAGGAGGGAACTAGCAGGCGCTGGAGTCCCACGCCAACAAGGTAGGCTAGGAGATACTTAACATACATGAGCTGCCGAGGTACCTGGTACCCATGCCCACTGTGACATGGTTATCGCCCCATAAACTGCATACCTCCACCATTCCTTGCCTTTCCGTTGAAACTGCTCTCTGTAACCCTAATGTGACAGGCAAGCCATCCAAACCAACGCCATCTTGGCCCCTGCAACTTGTAATAAGTAACTAAGGTCTGTAATTTCCACCCTACCTAGACAATGTGTAAACTAACGCTTATCTTCTGTGAACCACTTAAGTAACAATCATCGGAATATCCAAAGTCCCCTGGCCCTCGGAATGTCTGAAGCCCCTTGCCCCCGCCCCTGCCCAGGAGGTGGTTTCTGGGCATAAAAGGTCTTGACACCCTCCATTTGGGGCCACGGGTTAGAGAGACGTGAGTCCTCTGTGGCCGCCGGCAATAAAGACCCTGCAATTGGGCCTAGTCTTTGTCTCGGTGATTTCGCGCGCTTGGTTACAACACCCACCTTCTGAACATAAAAATGGCTGCTGCCTCAACTTCGCCTTCCAAATCTCACTTGGAGAACCATAGAGGAAAGGGAACTCTGAGACTTGGCTTTACTCCGGCCCAGTTGACATCTTACAAAGCCAGTACACCTGTAAACAGTCTCTCTTTTCAGAAGTGCTTTGAAGCACTCTAACAGACTCATGCAAGAATTCAGCACGTGAAGTAGGCTGCAAGCAATGTTTGAGTTTTATAAGAGGAGAAATGTCAGCCCAAAGCTTCCAGTTTGGACCCAAAGTCACATCTTGTATTCCTGTTGGAATGATGGCATTTAAAACTAGTTTTCTGGTCCTATAAACGAGAACAGAGACGCTCTCTCTCTGCCGGTGGTGTGCTTGAGAAGGAAACTCCCCAAGCCACTGTTTCATAACTGTCACTTTAACAAGAAGTTTGGGGCAAAATAGCCCCCAGGGTTTTTGGAAATGCAGCCTTAATTGAGCTTTTTCTTGTCTTAGCACACCCTCACGACTTAGACGTGACTGGGGTTTGGGAACCGTTTCCACAGCCAGAGCTGCAAACAGTGCCTGGTATGAGTGATTAACTCTCACGTGGGGGCAGCTCACTGTGAATTTGAAGACTCTGCAATGTCCCAGATCCTCATAAAGCAGCTCACATATTTGCCGTCCAACGAAGCATGGCTGAAATAACACAATCTTCTTGTTGCAGGTTTTGGGAATGCAGCGTCAGCTCCACCCGGGGGCCCTGTGGCTTCCGTCCTCTCCTGGAGAGGTGACCAGCCAAGGAGTCAGGCCCCCTTCGTTCTGAGGAAGGGGGAACAACATCTGCTGTGGCATGTGCCCTGCCTGCCTCATCGCTCACCTGGCTTTAAACACAGAGAGAATCAATACAAGCTAGAAGCTAGACAGCGGGCCCTCCTCCCTGTGTTTAAGCTCACACAGCCATGTCCGATGCTGTGGAGAGGGCTAATTTCAGTCAGACTCAGACCCTCATTTAATTTTACTGGGCATAACAATGAAGCCAAACTGGAAAGCAGAACCATTGAATAGGACCTGGGTTTGAAGGATTTTGGAAAATATTCTTGGAACCTTGAAAGGCTGGCTTCCCAAAGTGTTTCTCAATCCCTGTCTTTTTTTCTTTCTTCTGTGGTTTCCTTTTTCCTTCTTCCCCTTCCTCCTTTTCTCTGCCCTTTGTTCTCCCTCCAGAAACACATAACCTAGCATTTACTGGGATTGTGCCTTTGATGTAGGTGGGGGACAGGAGAATGGAAGGCACCGTGCCTGTCCTCAGGGGACCAATTGCTCAGCATGGGGGCAACATGGGGCGATGAAGTTGCAAGGGAGGGTGGATGTCAGATGAGCCGAGTCTTGAAGAAAAGGTAAGAGTTACCTGGTCATCTCTATTCTTTTGGTGGTCATTTGTCTTCCTCAACACTCTCCTTTCATACCCTCTGCCATCCACTAGGCTGTCACTGGAGAAAGAACCTGGCAGCCAGCAGTAAACTCTGACATCTTCTTATGGCCATTTCTGGCCTCATCTCCTGGGTAAAGAAATCACTCTTAAATGCAAACCCTCTAAATTTCCTGACTCTCCAGAAGTACCCAAAGTAAAGTTTCAAACACCCAATCACCTGCCCACTTTTAATTAGAACTGGCAAGTCTTCTCAGCTATGGCGGCCACTTAACATTTCTGCAATTCTCTTAGAACACGAACAGACTTTCAAGTCTCTTTCCTGTTGCTCACAGTGTTCCTGGCTGCCAAGGTAGATTTTGCTGTTGTCTCTATTTTCACTCATGCCCCGGCCACACCAACACTTGTAAAGGGGCCAAAAACATAATTTGGCTTCCAGCCTAGAGCCAAATTTATCATCCACTCTTTCCCTGGCATCACACTTGTGCTCCCAACAGTAACCTCTGGTGCCTGGCTCAACTGTAGCCTAAAGGAGTTAATGGCCAAGAAGTCAAAACCAACTCTTAGTGAGACGAGCTTTAGAATGCTGACATGGCAGTCACCAGATCTGCAAAATGGTATTCAGCAAAGTGTGAGGTTGTTATGAGACCAAATACTAAACTCAATATATGAGACTTTAACAGTAGGTACCAGAGAGACTTGCTTTTGGGTCCTCTTTTTGCAGAATCCTTAGGAGCAGGATGTCAGTTACACACATTGCTTTACAGATGCTGCATCCAGAGTCAAGAAGACAGTCTGAGGGGTCTGGAGGTTGCTGTCTGCCTGGTGATCAGAATACTGCCCTTGTGGTATATAGCAAATCAGAAGAGGGGGTCATTGGACCACATCACCTGCATCTCCTGGGAGCTTGTTAGAAATGCTGAATCTCGGGCTCACACTTGACCTGCAGAAACAGAATCTGCATATTGACAAGATCACCAGGTGATTTGCATGCCCATTACTGTTTGAGGCAACAAAACACTTTCGCATACATAAAATCTTCCTCTGAGGAAGGCAGAGGAAATGGAAGATTTGAGAAGGTGAGTGATTCTCTCAGGTCACATGGCTGGCACCGGACATTTCTTAACTCCTACTTATTTGGAGCTCCTTCCACTGAAGCACTATGTCTCCTGCCGATAGTCAGGAGAAAATGATGGTGGCCACGTAGGCTTTCATTGAGCTCTCATCACATGCCATGCATTGTTCTGATTGGATCTATGAGGTGGGAGCCTTTATCTTTCTCATTTTTCAATTAGGTAAGTGATGGAGCACCAGAATCAACTAGTATGTTCCAGACTTCATTTGAGTTGCCCACACTGAAAGTTGGATTTTGAATTTCCCAGTAGTAACTGTCAAGTAGTAAGGAAATGAGGGAATAAACAGGAACCTAGCTGTGTGACACTGGGCATGTCACATCACCGCAGGTTACTTATCCAAGAAATGAGGTTGAACTGGAAGATCTTAAAGGCATCTTGAAGGCAATTCCCAGCACTGACATTTTAGGATTCTAAATATTTCTAAATCCTTTGTTTGATATCTACTGATGGCTTTTCTTCTGAGCATCTTTGATTTAGGATCAGACACTGTCAGCCCAGGTCAGAGGATG